CGCGCGGCTACTACCGCTCGGCTGTTTTTCCTGCAAACCTGTGGGTCTGCGTGCGTGTGGCTCCGCGTGCGGCCGGCGGGGGTCGGCCCGGGCACAAAGCGCGCCCTTCCGGTGCGTCCTCGCCCATCAGGGAGCCAGCCTCGGCTCCACACTTGCTAAAAGTTATTGCGGTTTGCACGGTCCGGCTGCAGGCGTGGGGCCCTTGGAAGGATTCTTCGAAAGCAGCACGGAAGTGCTCCCTGCGCTAAGGACCGAGCCTTTGGCGCCGCCGAGCTCTTCCCTGAGATGACTGAGTGGCTGTGCAGCAAGCGGCTGCTTAGTGCGTGTCCAAGACCAGCCGCTTCGTGCAGTGTGTCAAGAGACGCCACTCCTGGTCTACACCAAAGAAGCCGTGACCCCCACACACACACACACACACGGGATGGCATGCATACATACGTTTGTTTAGTGTGCTCACTTAAACATGCAGGCGTGTGTGCTGTGTCTTGTTGCAAAGCTGTTTGTAAAATGTGAATATACAGGGCTGGAGAGATGGGCTCAGCGCTTAAGAGGACTGACTGCTCTTGGAGAGGACCCAGGCTCGGTTCCCAGCACCCACAAGGCCGCTAACACCCATCAGTAACACCGTTTCCAGAAGATCCAGTGCCCTCTTTTGGCCACCACAGGGCACCAGGTACACATGTAGTGCACTTACATACATACGGGCACAACACTCATACACAGAAAATACACATCAATAAATTTTTTTTAATCCTGACTTTAAAAATATGTATATATACATAAAGATACAGTATATAAAGACAGAATCTGTGCATCTGTGCTATACACACATATACTGATTGTACATGTATGTGTACTGTGTGTAGACACATACACAGGACTTTGCTTTTCTCTGGTACAGGCTTAGAATTTAAAAGAACTTGTAACAACTCCAACAGCAAAGTTACATATTAGCTGTCCTCCCGGGTTTGGAAATCTAGAAAGGTCCTCCTCAATCATCCCACCTGAATAGTAACGGTAACAACAAGGGAGTGTGGCGCCTAAGGGGCAGATGGCCTCAGAAGAGGTGCCTCCCTGGGCCTCTCCAGCCCTCCTCAGTGGGCCCTCTGTGCAGGACATTCAGCTGGCTCCCAAGCCAGGCCTGCTGAGGGAGCAGTCATTTCTACTAGGAGAATAACTGTGTGTAGACAGGGGAGAGTATTCTCTAGATACACAGATTTCTGCCACCTGGTCCATCATAGAAGGCTTAAAAGCACCCCAAAACATTTGCCCCAAAGAAATCTTGCCCTGGCAGGAGTTCTAGCTAGGTGGTACACTTGGAGTCAGGAAAACCTCATGGGCTGGAAGTGGCTGTGGGTCATGGACTGACTGGATCCTATGCCACCAGACAGGAACCAGTGTATATGGTTGATGAGAACGTTCAAAATTCTGAGAGACTTGGGAAGAACCACAGCAAGAGGCTGGGGAGGCTGAAGCTCTCGTCAAACTGCCTGCGCCCAGGCAAGCACTCTCTGGTATCCAAGGACACCTCGCCCTGCCTTCTGTAACTTCCTTTCACCCCTCCTTCGCTATGGAGAGCAGGTGTATTTTCAGTAAGAACCGCCTGGTGTACACTTTAAACCACCGCCTTAACTCATGGTCCCTAAAGTAGGCCATGAAAACTCTGCTCATTCCTGCCCTTATTCACCCCGTTTACTCTTCTGGAATTGTGGCACAGCTGAGTGTGGAGGTCAGAGGACAACTTGTTCTAGTCGGTCCTCTCCTTCTACTGTGTAGGCCCCAGAGATTGAATGCAGGTTGTCAGACTTGGGGACACATGCCTTTACCCAATGAGCCATCTCATCCACTTCACTGAGCTACTATTAGATGGGAAACTAAATCTTTAATTTTATTTTTTAAATTTTTTATTGAATTTCTGTGCATTTGGTACAATACATCTGGATCATATTTAGACCCCTCTCCCCCATCTGCAGCCCCCCCACCCTGGGTCACATTTCATGCATTCTGTCATATATGTTAAGGCCCATCAAGTCAAGTTTGTTTCTCCAAATGTCCCCTAGTGTGAGTTCATTCACTGGAACATGATCAGCCTATGTAGCACCACTTCCTTAAAGAGACCAGCTTCTCCCGGTTAGTTTATTATCAGATTATTTATTCATTTTATTTTATGTGTTATGAGTGTTTTATCTGCATGTGTATAAGTGCACCTATATATAAAATACCCACAGAAGCCAGGAGAGCTAGAGTTACGGATGGTTGTTAATCACCATGTGGATGCTGAGAATCAAACCCGGGTCCTCTGCAAGAGTAGCCAGTGCTCTTAACCACTGAGCCATCTCTCCAGCCCCATCAGAGATAAGAGATTCAGTTTTGTGATCTCAGGTCACTGTAAAGTTGGAAAGATGAGAGAGACATGACACTACAACATGGGTAGAATGGGGAGGGGGGCACAGAGCACAAAGGAAGGAGGCAAGGATGGCTTGAGCACCCCGGTCTCCCTCCAGAAAGTCTGAGCCACATGGGGGAAGAGACAGCAGACAGGAACCATACTGCTGAGCACATCCTTCCTTGGTGACCTTGATCAATTTTCTTAACCTCTCTTTAATCTTTCCATGACAGGAGACACGTCTTCAGGACAGTTAAATAAACTAATGCCCATGGGCACATTCACCTCAATGGCAGATGAGCACTTCTTAATGGTAAGTTATGTAAAGAAGAAAACCTTCCACCAAAGACAGATGGCATGCTGTTGAGCAAAGGATGAATTCCAACATCCTTGGGGGGGGCAGGTCACAAAGGTTGCTGCTGATAGGACAGTTAGCATGTGCTGCCTTCAGAATGCCATGGTGAAGTTTGCTTAACTCCATCTGCCTACTGTGATGCGGCTGGGGGGGGTACATGTATGTGCACATTCACATGTAGGAATATGTGTTTATATGTGTGTTTATGCATGTTCATGCATAGGTGCATATGTAAAGAGACCAGAAGTCAATGTTGGGTGTCTTCCACAATCACTTTCCACCTTATTTTGTTGTTGTTGTTCTTTTTGAGATAGGGTCTCCCTGTAGCCCCTGCTGGCCTGGAACTCGCTATGTAGACCAGGCTAGCCTTCAGCTCTCAGAGATCCACCTGCCTCTGCTTCCCAAGTGCTGGGATTAAAGATAGGTGCCACCACGCCCAACTCTGCCTTATTTTGTTTGAGACAAAGCCTGTGCTTTCAGTCATCAACTTGACACACTGTGAGGAGAGTCCCTCAATTAGGGAAATTCCTCCATCAAATTGGCTGGGCATTTTCTTGATTGTTAAATGATGTTGGAGGGCCCAGCCCACTGAAGGCGTTGTCACCCCTGGACAGGTGGGCCTGGGTTGTATAAGAAAGCAGGCTGAGCACAGCCCAGAGGAGCCAGCCAGTAAACAGCATCCCCTCATGGTCTGTACTCCAGCTCCTGCCCTAACTTCCTTTGATGATGGATTGTGAGCTGTAAGCCAAGTGGTTTTGGACAGTGTTTTATCGCAGCAATAGAAAGCTAACTCAAACAAGGCCTCTCACTGAAGTTGGAGCTCATCAATTCAGCTCTGCTGGCCAGCCAGCTAGCTCCAGCAATCCCCCAGTCTCCATTTCCCTGAAGCTAGGATTATAGATATGTGCCATCATGCCTGGATTTTTATATGGGTATCAGGTTCCAAATTCATGTCCTCATATTTGCACAGCAAACATTTGACCAACCATGCCATCTCCCCAGCCCCAAAGTGTACTTACTAACATTTACAAGTAATGCCCACATTCAGGAAGGAATAGAGGTACATTTATTACAATCTGAAAACAAGAAATTCTAAAATAAATCTAGACTAGAAATGTTACAAAATTGGATTAGCAATCACTACTTCAGAAGGACTACCCCCCAAAATATTTCTGGTTAGAAATAAAAACAGGCTCTGAATCTACCAGAGAATGGAGGTACAGCCAGATTTGTGGGAGGTGGGTATGCAGGAGAAAGTAGGCAGGTATTTTTGTTTTTAAAATAGGCCAAACTTCAGGAATAGCTTAGTATAGTCTATAGGTATAGTGTGATTTTCCAACTCCTTATCTTATACAACTTCAATCCAAGAGGTCCTGTTTCCAATATAATATAAATGAAAGCTCAAATTATAAATTCCATTTATAATATAAATGAAAGCTTTCTCAGTTGGATGCTCTATCACATTTTATCCCGCCACACACATGGTGCTATAACCCCAGCTGGTAAGATGGGGGACAGGGGCTTAAACACAAGGACTTAGAGGCCAACCATCCCCAACTGGCCAGTGTGTAAGAAATCCAGCCTCTACCATTTATCACTCTTTGGGTGTAGACTGTGTTCTTAGTTTTGGTCATAAGAAAACCTTGAATTAGTATGTATACTTTATAGGATACTGGCATGGTTAATCTTTTTTAATTTTTTTTTTTTTTTTTTTTTTTTTTTTTTTTTTTTTTTTTTGTATTTTACCTGTATGAGTGTTTGCCTGTATGCATGCAGTGCCTGAAAAGTCCAGAAGAGGGCATCAGATCCCCTGGAACTAGAGTTACAGATGGTAACAGTCAGTGTGGGTGCTGAGGACCAAACCCAGGTCCTCTGCAAGAACAGCCAAGTGCTCTTAACTGCTGAGCCATTTCCACAGCCCCTGGGATGGTTAATTTTGATTGTCAACATGACTAGATTTAAAATCACCATGGAAACACACACTGAGTATATCTCTGAGGAAATTTCCAAAAAGGTTTAATTTAGGAAAGAAGACCCACCATGGATGTAGGCAGCACCATCCCATGGGCTGGGGTGCCAGGCTGAAGAAAAAATGCAGAAGCAACCTTGAGCATCAGCTCTCATC